CACGCTGGCAATCTTAGCACTAAAGTGTTGCAGCACCTCTTGTTACTGCCACGGTTGATACGTAGTAGTGAGTGACTACAGAGGAATGCTGTGTGGTCCCCAAGTAAGTTCCAGTGCGGGGAGTTTCCAGAGACAGGTCTGATGTCCCAAGGCTGCTGGCTCTTACAGGATCACTCCGAACCCTTCTCCCAAGTCTAGCATGTACAACAGTAGGCGGAACTCTGCCATGGTTAGAGTGCCCAAAGTGCCAGTCATGCAAGGGGCTCGATCCATAAACCTCCCAAGTACAGCTTCCACGTTCGCCTGTGCACACTGACAGACACGGAACAGACCGACAGGTGCAAACAGGGCTATAACAACACAAACAAGGCAAAAAACCCAGAGCCCTGGTGGACTGAAGTCTCTCTCAGGAGGGTGTCCGGAACCAGGTGAACACAGGATAAAAGGCTTTGGGGGCGAGGAGGGAGTAAGAGGGAACGTGACAGAGACGGGGAAGTCAGAATTGACCACTTGGGTGAAGGTTTAAACTGTCGTGGATGCACAGCCCTCGGAGCCTGTGGGGACGGTGCGATGCAGGTGACATGGGGGTCAGTTAGGTTCTTGGAAGGACAGCTGAACCCAGGCTTGTGTCGCTCATCTGGACAAATAGAGTGCCCCGGCGACATGCCGATTATGAAGCGATTACATACACCAGCCACCCAAAGGGAGCCATTATCCCGCTGTGAGGCTGCTGGGCTGGATGAAGAAAGCTAAGGAGGATTTATCTTTCGGGGAGGAGCTGCGAGGCCCAAGAGTCATCCAACGTTTTCTTCCAAATCCCGCAGAGCGGCACAGTCTGTGATTCGGTAACTCACCAGTGGGCGTCATGCCCAGTGTGAACAGATGCCCCGCACACACCCAACTACCAGTGTGCACAAACCCTAGAAAGCCACACACCCAAGGTGGCCCTGGTGTCCATGTCCACACCTTAGGTACCAATATCCCCCAGTGCCCATCCGATATGCCACACACCTGAGGTGCGTGCACACAAGGCAAGCAGCTCACCCTGAGACGCCTACATCTGAGGGGTCCACACCGAAGCACCCGCAATCCCCAGGTGCCAACACCCCCTCCAGCGGTGCGCACACCTCCGCGGAGCGCCTTGCGCCGAAAGGCACGCACCGTGACCTTGGAAAAGGTGAAGGGCGTAGAGTCGACGCCCCTCGCGCCACCCCGCCCTCCGCGCAAGCTGGACCGAGCCTTCCCTTTTCTGGTCCTCAGCCAGGAGCCTCCCAGCAACCTACACCTTTTCCTGCCGAGTAAACAGGAAATGGCTCTGCGCGTGGCGGTTGCTTCCGGCCCGGGGCATCGGTGATTTTGAACGGCAGCGCGCTGCAGCCAATCGCAGGAGACGACTGGGGAGCGAGCCAATCGCGGGGCGGGCGAGGTCGGACGGACGCCGGGGCGGCGGCCGCGTCGGTGGGGCCGGCGGGTGGCGGCGGCGCGATGCTGCAGCTGCGGGACACGGTGGACTCGGCGGGCACAAGCCCCACGGCGCTGCTGGCGGCCGGCGAGGATGCGGGAGCGGGCCGGCCGGGGACGAGCACGCCGCTGCGCCAGACGCTGTGGCCGCTGAGCGTCCACGACCCGACACGCCGCGCCCGCGTCAAGGAGTACTTCGTGTTCCGGCCCGGCACCATCGAGCAGGCGGTGGAGGAGATCCGCGCCGTCGTGCGACCCGTGGAGGACGGCGAGATCCAGGGGGTGTGGCTGCTGACCGAGTAAGCCTGCGCGAGTGCGCGTGGGAGCCTCGCCTCTCGGCCGCCGGGTGGGCAGCGGGCTGGGGCCCTGGTAACAGGCGGTCCCTCTCCCCTCCAGGGTGGACCACTGGAACAACGAGAAGGAGAGGCTGGTGCTGGTCACCGATCAGTCACTGCTCATCTGCAAGTATGACTTCATCAGCCTTCAGTGCCAGCAGGTGGTCAGGGTGGCGCTCAGCGCGGTGGACACCATCTCCTGTGGAGAGTTCCAGTTCCCTCCGAAGTCACTCAACAAGTAGGTGCACCAGCGCACTACACGGCAGGGCCCCTGCGAACCCTGTAAGTTCCGTTCTTGCTAGCTAAAGGCCTCATCTTGAAGGACCAGTGAAAAGGACCTTAAAATAGAAACTGTAGAAACTGACTTGAGGGCTGCCCAGTGCCACCTTAAAAGGGCTGCCGGCACTAAAAACCGGTTACCAGTTAGGATTGTGGAATCCTAGCCCACTGTTAAAAGCTATGTTAAGTACTGAACACTCCCCAGACTGGGCATTTTACCTCCAGCAGGATGGGAGCACAGGGTATCTGTTCAGTCTTTTTCTGGTTCCTGTTTAAAAGAATCAATCAGCAGATTGGCTGATTGATTCGTTGATTGAACGTACTAAAAACCGGATACATTAGAAAACACCTAACAGCCAGTTTTCAAGAGCTGGTGAGCTTGCTATAAAAGAAGTATTCTGAAGCTTAAGAGGCCCATACCCGTGGGTGGTGGTGACACACACCTTTAATTCCAGGACCCAGGAGGCAGAGGCAGGCGGATCTCTATAAATCTGAGACCAGCCTGGTCTACAAAGTAAGTTCCAGTATACCCAGGGCTACACCGAGACACACTGTCTTGAAAAACTGAAAAAGAGGCCCATACATCTGAGCCCAGTCTATGGCAATTTGAATAGGGAATCCAGGAAGCTAATGGCTGCGAGCATTATTCAGTAACACATTAAGTAACGAAAACATCCATAATTTGGCCAGACTGAACTGTATGCGGTTTCACTGGCTGTAAAGATGAGTCTTAGCATCACCAAGACATGAACTTCTTACTCTCAGAAAGTGCTTGCAGTGGCTAGCGGAGACCGTTGTTACACTGTACCCCAGCTGTCCCTGCCTTCCCTGATAGCAGCTGGCTGCAGCGTTGGACTCCAGTGGTAAGCAAGGCTCTCTTTCCCCTCTTCCATCAGGCGAGAAGGCTTTGGGGTTCGCATTCAGTGGGACAAGCAGAGCCGCCCTTCTTTCATCAACAGATGGAACCCCTGGTCCACAAATATGCCCTACGCCACCTTCATAGAACACCCAATGGCTGGCATGGACGAGAAGACTGCGTCTCTGTGCCATGTAAGCAGATCCGAGGCCCGGGGCCAGCAGTGAGTGTGAGCACTTGAAGTGCAGGTCCTGATAGTGGGGCCTCGGAACACAGGGAGACGCCCATCCCGCTGCAGGATGCTCAGTCTAGAGGGGGCGAGTTGCAGTCCTAGTGAGGCTCTGCAGGTGCTGCCGCTGGTGCAGGCGGGTACTTGGGAGGTGCTGAGGGAGCCCTGAGATCCTTCAAAAGGGCACATGTGCAGCATATAGTTCATTGTGTACATGCATTCCAGACAGGTTATGGTAGGGCTGAGAAAGTCCTGTCACTGGATGACATCATAGTCCTCATGAATTTCTCCATCTGTGATGGAGTGCACAGCACGCCAGTGTGCAGCCTGTGGTGACGGTGCTGTCGGAGGTCACGTGCTCAGTGTCCTTTGTATCACCTCAGGGCGTGTGCTGAGTCTCCTCACGGTGTCTTTAGTGACAGAGCGGTACTATCTGGAGCTGGACAGATGAGTCACCTGGTGACCCAGCCCTTAGCACTTGACCGGATGACTTCTCAGAATCCCCGTTTCCCGTGTAGTGGAGTACTGTTGTCTGCCTTGAGGTTAAGGTTCCATGTTTCTTCTCTCTTTACAGTTGGAAAGCTTCAAGGCTCTCCTGATCCAAGCTGTCAAGAAAGCCCAGAAGGAAAGCCCACTGCCAGGACAGGCGAATAGCGTGCTGGTGCTGGAGCGCCCACTCCTCATCGAGACCTACGTAGGGCTCATGTCCTTCATTAACAACGAAGCCAAGCTGGGTTACTCCATGACCAGGGGCAAGATAGGCTTCTAGTCTTCGTGGAGGGACGCAGTGTGCCACCTCAAGCTACCCACTGCGGTTGGAGAGAACACAGGCATGGTCCCTTTAGGTGCCTGATTAGAATAGTCAAGCGAATTATATATATTTAGTTGGATATTGGACACCTTGGCAACATGATATATGAAGGCAGAAATACTGGCTGTCCCTATGCCACCGTGTTCCTTCTGTAACTCCACATAAATGTTTTCTCCAGTGTCCCTGCTGGGCTTGTTCTTCCTGCTCTGCCTCTCCAGCATGCTGAGCAGAATGTGCCCGCCCACTTCTGCTGAACACAAACTGTTGGACACTGGGCGGAGCAGAGCGACCCATACCTGCACTGCAGATGCACTTGCATTAACTCCCCCTGCCCCTCGCCGCCCTTCAAGTTTTGTATTTTGAAATTCAGCCCATTTTTTAAAAGCTAAATACAATAGCAGTCAGCAGATCAGTTACAAGAAAGACAGCCTGCCTGGCCACTCCTAGCGAAACTGCTCTTCCGTGAATGTTTGACCTGAAGTCACACTTTGCAAACTAATCCAGCTTGGGTTAATACAGTTTTCCTAGGCCCAGGGACAGTCAGTCTCATGACATAATCCAGGCCCTTCTGGAAGTCATGGTGGTGGGTTTTTATCATCCTGTCTCTGTTTAAAAGGGACTGAGTGGTTTGGTTTAAAAAGTGCATGTTTATAATAAGCAGACCAGCCTGCATCCCCCTGGCCCCACCGAGCTTTGCTGAGCTTCACCACACCAGCCACACACGGTTTCCCCTGTGGCTCTAGCACCTGTCAGTACACTGTAGATGCTGGCCTGTCACTCGATACCTCTGCCGCAGCTTTAAGTTAACCATGGATGTGACCAGAATGACCTCAGATGCACCTGGTCTTTGTCCTCTGCTTTTGGTCTTGTAGTAAAGACACTGAAAACCAAATGAAGTCGCTCCTTTTTGAAGTTACTGTCACAAAACAGTTGCACCAACTAAAGACTGTCTTGAGGCCTGAGGGACTGAACCTGTTGGCTGGCTGTGGACCCTCCCCATAGTCCTCTTTACAAAAGTTCAGATGGGCAAGTCCACAGTCCAGGTTAAGAGCCTGGTTCAGATAGCCCAACATTTTGGTATGGCTGCTTTCAGGCCGTTTGCTAGAGATGTGGAGCTGTGCTGGGTGGGCTAAGTGCTGGGGGAGGCACGGGTGCCTGAGGACATCCTGCTGCAGAGGGGCTGCACAGATCCACAGTAGTCACCCTTGGTCAAGAGCACTCTGGAAACAGCTCGGAATATAAAGAGACATAAGGCAGCTAAGTGTTGTTATCCTCCTAAGATAGACCTTGAACCTATGACCTAAGGCCTTGAGGGAAATGACCACCCTTGTCCCATGGATTAGCAAATACCTATTTTATATTACAGTTTATACATATTTACAGAACACATCACTACAGAAAACTGGATATCCCGTCCCATCAGGAGCCTGCGCAGCTGTTGCTTGTGTTGAAAGCAGCAGGGCCCGTTGCCTCGGTTTCCACTCAGGTCCTAGGCATGGCCGTCCCGTTGTCCACAGGCTGCGCCAAACCCCTCCTTGGTCTCCAGAAAACAGAGACAGAAGTGGTCCTTGCTAAGGAGGGCCAAGGAATCCCCACTCAAGTGCCAGCACAGTCCAAGCACTGGGAAGTCACCTAGAGAGACAGGTGGTCAGGGTCAGAGCAGAGATCAGGACCAGGGAGGGCATCCTACGGATTAAGTGAGGATCCTGGCGAGCCCAGACTGATGCAGCCAAAGCCTATAAAGCTTGGGCAGCAGGTCCCGTGTCAGGTTACACACTGGGCAAGGTCCTGCAAGTTTGCTAAAAGCCATGGGGGTGGGGGCATGTCACCGCTAGGCACGAGCCACCGTCCGTTGGCTGGGATATGCTTACCTTCCCCAGGTACCTGCACGGACACACAGCCTGCAGGGGACCACAGGTACACCTTGCTCCCGCCTGTACAGATGGCCAGCCTTGGCTGCTGTGGGTCCCACTGAAATGAGCGCACTGGAGACAAATGCTCCAGTACCACAAACAGCTTCAGCTTCTGAATGTCCCAGACCCAGACAGCGTTGGGGACATTGTCTGCAAGGAAACAGAGATAGGGCACCATGTCAGTGCCAGCCCTCTTCGAGCAAACCTGACTCAAAGGATGTACTAGGTTTCTTTCTCAGGGACTAGCACCCAAAACAAAACGAAACAAAAAAGACCCCCAAAGGCCATAAATCCCTCCTTTTTCCCTGTGGTTTTTACATTTGTAATTGTGAAACTATGCAAACAAAACCAGAGCCACAGAGGCCAATGCTGGAGGGAGTAGGCGGTCAGCCAGGGCATGGGCTGACTAGCTAGGAGCTGCTGTGCAGACCGTCCACAGGGAGAACAGCGCACAGCTGCCCTCCTGAGCTGCTTCTCATTCATTTCTGCTCTGGGCGTCAAGCGGTGCAGGGAGCAGCTGACCCTGTCCAGGAGTATGACACTGACCGTTTCTTGTTGCCAGGAAGTAGCTGTCAGAACTGAAAGCCAGCATCCCTACTCCCATCCTAGGGTTAGCTCTGTCAGCTACCGGCTTCAGAGTCTGCAAGGCAACTGGCCCAGAGGCGATTTCATCTGGAACACAGCAGGGAGGACATGCCAGGGTGCTGGTTAAAGGGGGGAAGGGAAAGCAGGCCGGCAAGTGTGCAAGAGATCTGCTGTGGGAAGAGGCCTGCTCACGAGTTCCCTAGGGGACAACCGTTCTATTCCACTGCAGAGAGGGCCCCAAGTGGGGACAGGCCCATGCAGTCTGGAGCCCCCAGGAAGGGTATAAACATCATCAGGTCTGCTTTCTGAGCTAGTCCTAGCTGCTTGAACATCTGGCCGGTCTACCCATCACCAGCATCTGCACAGACGGCTGGCTGCCCTTTTCCAGCTGGGAGGTGAAGGAAGATTATCACCCAGCAGAAGATGTTAGCTAAGCACCAGCCAGTACGAGCAGCACCTCTCAAGCCTGGCTGCCCTCAACCCTGCAGGGCAGGAAGTGAAAGGCTAAGCTACCAAGTACATGTCTGCTCCTGTTCTCTCTCCCCCCAATCCCTCTGAGGTCCATCAGAGAACTGTCGACGGCCAGGACTGTTAAGCTACTGTGACAGGTGGGATGAGGGCACACGGACTACAGGGCAGTGTGGGAAAGGTGAGCATCACAGGAGAGCACTGGTCTATGCTGCAGGGAGCTTGAGACCCCAGCTGAGATCTCCCCCACCCCACCTGAGATTCACATGGACAGAGGATTCTCATCTGAGACAAAGCTCAGGCTTTCTCCCTCTGCTGCTTACATTTGCTCTCTGAGGTAGAGAGGGCACCAGCCATTGCTCGGGGTGGTGGGAAGGACAGGTGGCCCAGCCCCAGCTGTGGGATCTTCTCAGCTTCCTTATACACAACCTGAAAAACATGATTTGGCCACTAACCAGTTTGTGACAAGAACCAGGGACTCGGGAAGGTGGCCAACTTAAGTGCCAGACATCACAGTTGCTGGGAAGAAGAGCACCAGTCTGACCCCTTGCAGTGAAGTTCGGACAGCTCAGCTGCCACCTCAGTCCTGCTGACCAGGCTGTCCTGGAGAGATGGGCCCTGACTACATGACGGTGTCGTGGTAAACAATGTCACAGCCATGCAGAAGTGGCTTGTGTGGGTGCCAGGCCAGAGGGCAGTGAGCAGCAAGCCTGTGGGAGCAGCAAACAGCCAGGCACAACAGATTCGCTGCTAGTGTGGGTCTTAAAACCCATGAGCTGGGGCTTGGCTGCCAGCAACTTTAAACAGTGTATGGGGGATAAGGCAGGTCACTGGAGGTGTGCCTTAAAAGCCTGTATTGGGACCTCGCCTGTCCTTCCTCTCTCCTGGCCACTGTAAGATTAGCTCTGCCCTGCCATCTGCTCCTTACCACAGTGTGTTGCCTTGACACAAGCCAGAGTAAGAAGGCAAAGGGTCCACGGACTGAAGCTCCTTTTCCTTTAAATTGATCCTGTCCCAGTGACATAGCTGATTTATACACCAGTCCCGGTAGAGAAACCATAGCACACACAGAGACCTAGACGCATGAACCACAGGCAAGCCTTGGCGGCCTGCAGGGCCAGCCTTGCACCCTGCCGTCCCTCACCTGAGCTCAGCCAAGGCCAACCACTACTACTGGAAGAGCACACGCTAAGCCAAAGCCTCACCTCTGCCCAGCTCTTCCTTCCTCCAGGTTCTGGCCTGCAGCCCCGCCCCTTCCTTGTCCTCCTCAGGTCTAGCACCTCAGTGGATGGGTGACCTCTACAAGGAAAGCAGAAGTCTGTCCTTGCTGCGGACTGAGAGATGACAGCGCAACTCAACACTGTGGAGCTACAGAACATGCCTTTCTGGTTCCCAGACCTGAGCTGCCCCTTGCTCCCCAAGGTCTGCACAGAACAACTCTCCTGGCCCTTCCCTGCTTGTCTGCACAGTGCCTGGCAGGACGGCAGATGTTTGAGACTCCCCAGTCCCTCTGCTAACACCAGGGACCAGCAAAGGACAGAGCATGGATGAACACAGCATCTGGCTAGGACAGAGGCACAGTCCACAGAACCTGGACTAGACATGCCCTTGACAAAAGAGGGTGTGAGGGCGCAGGGACAAGGAAGACGACATCACAGTAACCAAGGAAGTCAAGAGCAGCTCACAGCACCAGAGACACCACCATGCTCAATTCAAGATTCATGCAGACTTACTGTCTTGGGATTATTAATGGTTGCAGGATGCCCAAACTCGGTGATCATCTTCCAGGTCACATGATTAAGGAGGCGCACCTGGGGAAGGAACCATGAGGATGACATGCAGGCTGCAGACAGCTCACGGAGGTGGCCAATCCCGAGCCATTTCCCACCTTTCCGTCATAGCTCCCAATGGCCAGGAACTGACTACTGGGGCTCCAGGCCACAGACTTGATGCCCAGGGACCACTCATAGGCACAATATGCGGAGAGCAGGCGGCCGTCCAGGGAGTAGAGCAGAATCTTGTACTGCAGACAGACAGTAGACAGGTCACAGGTACCGAGTGCAGGCTTCAGTGCCCAGCAGCTCGCTGCAGTAAAAGCACACACAGGTACCTGCAGGTGCGTGCTCTTGAGAAAGAATGTGCCGCTGGCCATGTGCTATACCTCCAAGCAAGTGTCCCACGCTGCCAGCACACAGCCATTCGGGGCCCACTCGATCCCTGTGAGATCCTGCGTATCTGTGTCAAAGTGCTTCCAGACGAGAGGAAAACACGACAATTTGAAAAAATTTCCTTATATAAGTGCATTTATTTCACAACCAATGCTTTTGGCATACGTATCATTTCACATGCAGCACAGACAAGACAGCTGCACGCCGTCCTGGCGAGTGCCAGCCATTCCGGGCCAGGCGCACATGCCCTCATCCTCCCGCAGCCTGCTTCCCAGTGTGCCCCCTCGGATATCTGTTCATGGGTTTGAGGCGTGTTTGCATGGAGGGCGATATGCTCACGTCACAGCTCCTGAGACATCTTGCCCAGGGCCAACTCAACAGCATTCCTCCCAGCAAGGCATTCCCTTACACAAATGAGGGTTCAAAGTTCATGCCAATGCCTGGCATGCACCAAGTGTGCACACAAGGTCTGAATCACACTTAGTGTGCACTGCTTAAAGGCACACACAGTACTCCTGCCCTCTGGCCACAGAAACCTCATTCTACCTACACCAGGGACTGCAAAGGCCCCTGGAATCATCAGAACACTGGCTCTGCCCCTCTCCGCCCCCACCCCTGCCAGCAGGAGAGGACTGCCCTACCCGGAGGAGCTGCCCCTCTCCCTGACCCCAGCAGGAGAGGACTGCCCTACCCGGAGGAGCTGCCAGTCGCTGCACACAAAGATGCTCACATAGTCCCTGCAGTCTCGCCTCTCTGCCAAGGCCAGGTAGCGGCCATCCCTGGTGAAAGTTATTCCTGTGGAGAGAGAATGTACTGGAGCCAGAGCGTGGACAAATGCCCAGAACAGCAGGGACTTTACAGGGGACAAGAGAAAGAACCAAGCAAGAAAAGGGGAAGCCCCAGAAATGTGGTGAGCAGGACACTGTCACACGGGAACCTGACAAGCAGAGAGATCTCACTCCTCCAAGTTAGGTGGGAGCCCAAGTACCTGATTTTTAATGTGTCAGAAATGTCACTGACTGAATGCAGGGCCTAGCTGGTTAGTATGTTTCACAAAGAAACTACAGGAGACACTTGTGGTCAAAATCCAGCTTGCTATTTTGTGTGTTTGGCACACGTGTGTCGTGGCATATGTGTGTGTGTGTGTATAAAGGTTAAAAGACAGTCTTAGGCGTCTGTACTCCCCAATGACCTTGTTGAGATTGTTTGCAACTGCATGTGCCAGGCTAAGTGGCCTGCCAGCTTCTGAAATTCTCCGTCTCCAGCTCCCATCTTGATGTAGGAGCGCTGGGACTGCAGACTTGTGCGGCCGTGCCTGCTCCACAGTGGGCTCTGGGGTCTGAACTCAGTGCTGGGACTGCAGACTTGTGCGGCCGTGCCTGCTCCACAGTGGGCTCTGGGGTCTGAACTCAGGGCTGTGCCTGCTCCACAGTGGGCTCTGGGGTCTGAACTCAGGGCTGTGCCTGCTCCACAGTGGGCTCTGGGGTCTGAACTCAGGGCTGTGCCTGCTCCACAGTGGGCTCTGGGGTCTGAACTCACGTCTGCAGGCTTGCACAAGCCCTTTATACCCTGAGGCAGCTCTCTCGTCTGCTACTGCATTTCTTACTGTTTTTGGGTTTATCTTTATTATTCTCAGTTAGTGTATAGGTTGTGCAGAGAGAGCAGGAGCGCCTGCAGAGGCCACAAGTCCCATCCCCTGGAGCTGAAGCTATAGGCAGCTGGGAGCCCCTGACATGGGTGCTTCTGGAAGAGCAGTGTGTGCTCTAGCCCAGAACTTATCATTTCAAATAAATGAATATTCAGTATTAGCATAAAAAACCCGAGGCCAAGGTTGCTGCTTCATGAATGATAAGAACATTTCAAAGAACAGAAGACTAGAGGACACCTCCACCCAGACCCAGACTGTTGTTCAGCTACAGTAACACTTCAGACTACAAAAAAGTCAGAGTGAACCTAAAGTGCACTTCAGTCCAGTGTTACCTGCAAACTGCTTATGGCAGCAAAGAATACAGTACGACGCCCGATGTTTCTCGGTCCTTCTACTGTATGTTGTTTCTGGGATCGAGGGCAGTGATGCATACACATCCCATCATCCCATACACTCTGCCCAGGGCTCCAATGACGAGGGGCTCCTGTCTCTTTCCCCTGCTCTGGGATGCTCAGATGTGACCGGATGTGAGCCCTGACAGAAGAGCTAGTGAAATGAGCTGGAGATGCTCAGGGGTTAAAAACGTACGCTGCTTTTCCAGAAAACTGGACCCCAGCACCCAAGACAGACAGCTCACAACCACCTGTAACTCCAACTCCAGGGACTGGGATGTCCTCTCTAGACTCCACGAATGCTTGCATTCACATTACACACACACACACACACACCTGATTATAAAAATAAATCTTAAAAAAAAGTGAGTGCAGTGAGGCTGCAACAGGCACTGAGGGAGAGCGAACTGCCCTTCCCTCCCAGGACGCCACCCTCTGCGACTCTCCACAGCATCCTGCTGTCAAGGAAATAGCATGCAATCTCTTGCTTACAGAGACACAGGAAACAGCACAGAGTGAGGAGAGCCAGGTGATACCTAAGGACACAGAGGAAGGTACAGCCATGGAGGCTGGCTGGGAGGGGTCTGCTGCTGCAGCAGCCACTGCTTTCTGCTCTCTGTGACAGACTGTGTGTGTGTGAGGGGCACTGGCAGACTCACCCTGCTGACAGGCTTTGGGATACTTGATGTAAGACACAGATTTTGTGCACAGGGACCAGACGGTTATTCGCAGCTGCCAGGGAGAAGGGGAGAGAGAAAGGAGTTAGGATGTTTCCTGTCGCTAGAAAGACTCTCGAAGCTGAGAAGATAAAGGTGGACTCACGTTGTACACGCACAGCAAGGTTAGTTTAGCATGCTTGCATGAGCGGCTGTGAGAGCCCTGATCGTCACCAGTCGTCAGAGGGGACATTGACTCCACAGCGCAGGGCTGGGGCAACGTCAGGGTGAAGGTCTCACAGCTCAAGGAGGCAGTGGAGTTTGGAAACTCGGCATTCCTCCAAATGCCAAGTGTCTAAGATCCCAGCATGTGTAAGACAGAGACAGGCAAGTGGGCTAGCTTAACTAGACCTGGACAGCTAAGTTCAAGTGAGAGACACTGCCTCAGAACGAGGTGGAGAATAACTGAGGAAGACATGCAACATCGACGAGACGACGTGGGAACTCGCACACACCCCACGACGCAATTCACTTCAGTGCCCTAGCCTGGTAGCCATCTCAAATCCTGATGCGAGCCCTCGGAGGTGAACCCCTCCATCTGCACTGGCCCAGCAGGATCCTGTCACTGAGCCCCAGGGCTCCCCACAACTCAGATCTCAGCAGCAGAGCGACAGCTGAGGATGATCCAGCAAGCCTGTCCTTTCAAGGAACAAGAGCAGCAGCTATGACTGCCAGGAGGGGCAATGGACGGGCATATTTAAATAAATACACGGGCACTGCAGACCCCAGGATCCCCCAGAACGGGGAGAAGATGGCTACTGTGCAATGCAGCTCCAGCAGGCTCTCGAGGCCTGTCGGTGTTCCGAGAAGTGTGTAGGTGTGTCTTCCACTGCTGAGGCGACAGCCCAAGTTGGCCGCCTTCTTGTTGTCTCACAGGAGACAGGGACTCCTTGCACTGTACAGCGCCTTCATGGATATCCTGCCTCCAGAAGGGTACCCATGATCTAACTGTCCTGCGTGGGAATTGCATGACTCTCAGTTATGTGTCCACTCTACTAACGGATGCCTGTAGGGTCACCTGCTGACCATCAAGCATAGCCGTGGTAAATGAAGTCTGAGGGATTTTTTAAAAGCTAAAACTTAAAAGCTAGGAATAAGGTAGGGCATGGTGACACAAAGCTTTAATCCCAGTCATCAAGAGGCAAAGACAGCAGATCTCTGAGAGTCTAAGGACAGCCAGGGCTACCCAGTGAGACCCTGTCCCAAAATATAACAAAAAGGTGGCTTCCTCAGGGTGCCCCTTGCTAAGCCATGGTATTCCTTCACACCCGAGCTGAACAGTCACTTCAGGGCCACGGGCCAACAAAGCCATCGAAGGCGACCTGAACGTTTTACTCTGTCCAAACGTCCTCTCCATTTCAGTATGTGTGTGACTGAATGAATAAAGGTACTCTTTTTTTTGGGGGGTGGGCATTAACTGAGGGTCTGAGATCTGGAGGCTGGACTCTGGTCTGCAGAACTCTAAGCATGAGGACTGCTGATCAAAGTTGTCTGGAAAACTCTCAAATGACCCTCTAACAAGCCCAGGCCACTTAAAATGCCCAGTTAAGATGTTAGCATAACCAGTACAGAGTTGGCCTGTAACAGAAGACATAGACTTCCAATCCCAGAGTGTTTTACTCCAGAACCCAGACTTCCACATCCCAGAGTGTTTTACTCCAGAACCCAGACTTCCACATCCCAGAGTGTTTTACTCCAGAACCCAGACTTCCACATCCCAGAGTGTTTTACTCCAGAACCCAGACTTCCACATTCCCAGCGTGTTTTAGGCACAAGGGACAGGACGGGCCGCGTTCGGCCAGCTTACATGGAATTCAGTTGTATTCAGAATGTGGCGGCCGTCCGGACTCCAGCAGGAAGCAACCAGCCCCGCGGAGCCCTCGTCGATTTTGCAGTGCCATTCCGGCTGCTCCAGTGACCAGACCTTGAGTCATAAAAGAAACACAGGGTTGCAGAGCACGGTTGCGCCACCCACAGCCTGTAAGGGAGAGGATGCTACCTTGTCACCTCAGGTGTCCCTTTAAAAGGATCCGCTCTTGTCTCCGTTCCAGAACCTCACTTAGTTAGGCTTTGTGGATAACAGTTCACTGCCTTCCAACACTCCCTAAACACAAATGTCTCCCACTCCGGAGAACATAGCTCTGAGACTAACAACATTTTAGTGCTTTTCTTTTCTATTTTTTAAACATCAAAAGTATTTGGATTAAACTATTAGAGAACATTAGGTATTTAAAGAAAAAAACTTTAGAGTTTCTTTGCATTTTTGTTTTCAAACCTAACTAGAGGATACAAAAAACCCCACTCCTTCCTAGTTACGCCCCTGGGAAAGTTTCCTAATTCTAACTCTGCTACAGTAACAGCACCGGACCAATTACACAGGCCCTGTGAGTGCAGGCGCCCATCCACACAGGGGACTTACATGAGCCTTACCTATATGTCGCATGTACCTGCCTACACACACGCCTGCCCCGGTACACACCTGCACAAGCCCCCGTCTGTACATGGCACACAGGATGAAGAGGGAGTCTGCTGACCACTCTATGTGCTGGATCTGGTCCAGGCACGTATACAACTGAAGGATCTGAAGGGTCTTCCCATCCCGGATCACTAGCCGGTACTGGACACAGGAAGCCTGAAAAGTGAGGCAGAAGGCACTCAGTAGTGTCTGCTCTACAGGAGGGCAGGAGGGCTCTCTGGTGTGGAATGCCCTCTGTGTGCTGTGAATATGTTTTATTACCATTGGTTAATAAAGAAGCTGCTCTGGTCTATGGCAGGGCAGAATATAGCTAGGCAGAAAAGCCAAACTGAATAGAGGGAGGAAGACGGCGGAGTCAGGAAGACACCAACAGCAGCCAAAGGACTAAGATGCCAGGGCATTACCGGTAAGCCACAGGGCACGTGGCAAAACACAGATTATTAGAAACAGCTTAATTTATATGTAGAGCCAGCTACTAAGAAGTCTGAGCCATCGGCCAAGCAATTATAATTAATATTAAGCCTCAGAGTGGTTATTCAGGAACGATGGGTGGGAGAGAATCCTCCAGTAACAACAGTGAGGCCGTGCTCAATGGTCACCTCCTTTCCTCCTGTCTGGCATGTTTCAAAGCTGCCAGTAATTACATTCGTTCCAAAATTAGAAGAAGAGAAAGCTGGTGCATACAAAGATTTAAACGTTCTACCACGCAGTTTCATCATTGTACACACTGCACATCTGTCCAACATTCAACTGGAATCCCCAGATTTGTACAAGTAAATTTATTTTTTAAAAAAATTAGATTGGTGTGCATGCCTATAATCCCAGCACTGGGGAGGCAGAGGCACGCAAATTCCTTAGTTTGAACCAACCTTGGTCTGTAGAATGAGTTCCAGGACAACCAGAGCTACACAGGGAAACTCTATCCTGAACCACACCCACCACCAAAAACAAAAGAAAGAAAAGGGAAAAGGGTTTTTTGCTTGGGTGTGATGGGACACACCTGTAACTACTGCTCTAGGGAGATGCTGAGGCCAGCTTTGCATATTACACTATAGTCTAAAAGAACTTGCACTCGCCTCAGATGCAAGTTTGGATTCCCAGAAGTCACATAAAACTGGGTGTACTTGTTTATAATGCCAGTGTTCCTGTGGTCAGAAGGGAGGCTGAGACAGGGTGGGTCAGCTAGCCTGGTGTATGCAGCAGAGAACAAGAGACCTTGAATGGAACAAGGTGGAAGTCAAGCAATCATATTCCAGTTGTCCTCTGCCCTCCGTGTGCGTGGCCCCCATGTACAATTGCACACTAACACAGACACACGTGCACGTGGTGCACAGGCAGACTGAAAAGAGAAAAGGAAGCCTAATTCGTCTTCTGTGGAAAAAAGAGAGCGCATGGGCCAAGTGCAGGTTAGAACTAGGGCCTAGCACAGGACTTAGGTTTTCACAGGACAGCCTTGTGAGCTGTGAATTCCAGAGTTACCAGGTCCAATGAATCCTTTAGGAACCATTGAAGACACTGAAGCAGGAAGCATGGGCCAGCTCTGCCCAGTATGGCAAGACTCCCAATAAACAATTATCAGGAGTTTCACAACATTTTGATGAGTGGGCAGTCCCAAACACAAACATCAGATAACTAAAGGAAACCTCCTTGCTGTTCATAAGAACTTTCAGGAAAACAACCCTCATCTGCCGAGATACTTGGAAAAAGGTAAAATGTTTCGAGGTAGGAGTGTGTGTGTGTGTGTGTGCGCGCGCGCGCGGCGCCTGTGTAAATTCTCTCCTTCCACCCTTCCATGGGTCTCAGAACTCAAGGTGTCAGGCTCGCACAGCAGTACCGTAATCTCCTAATACTACCTCTATTCTGACACTCACTCCCTACTTTCCTAGAAGGACACAAAGGCGGTTAAAGATGTCTCAAAGGCCTGGGTAAAAACAGCAGAGTGTGGATTAAGAACCAAAATAGCCAGGCGGTGGTGGTGCACGCCTTTAATCCTAGCACTCGGGAGAAGAGGTAGCTCTCTAGAGGCCTACCTCACTAGAGTGAGTTCCGGGCAGCCAAGACTGCACAGAGAAACCTTGTCTAAAGAGGATGATCAATGCATAAAAGGAAGCTCATTAAAAAGCATGATTACATTTGTATGCGGGGAGGGTCATACACTGGCTGTAGCTTATGTGGAGGTTAAGACAGCTTGCACATGTCATTCTGCCCTTCCATTATGTGGGCCCTAGCGATGGGACTCAGTGACTGGTCCAGAACCATAGTTTTTATAAACCGAGTTTGGTTTTGTTTTCCCTGATGGCTTCCTAATGCCAGTGGTCATATGGGTGTCTGTCACCCATAGAATGGACAGCTGACATCCAACACTGGGACCTAAAGCTAGTTACTTAAATCATCTGCATGTCATGCAGGAGGAGAAGTAGCGCGGAGGAGAAGTAGCGCGGACCAAAAGGAGGGCGCCATTTAACCAGATTACACGCGAGCAAACACAAACTATGCCGTTTGTGACAAAGTAACAATGAGCTGGCATCGCCTAACCCAACTTTGACAAAGGGAAACTGGAGCCGGGAGGCTGGCATCCGCCCAGCCCGCGCCACCTGTTCCAGGTCCCCCTCCCTACCATGACCACCTGCCAGAATATCGACCTACCCCCAGCTCCATCCCTACCCTGCCCAGGCCACCCGCTCCACTTGCCCCTTCCCTACCCCGGCCCCCTGCCAAGACCCCCCTAGCCCTGCCTGGCTCAGGCCCTCTTTCCACACCCTGATCATCTACCTAGATCTCCCCCGTCCGGCCCAAAACTCCTCCCCTGGTGCCCCGCTTCGTCTGGCTCGAGTCCCCCTGGCCGCCCCCCTCGTCCCGCTCGGGCCCCCTTCCCGCCCCTCTTCGACCCGCTCTGGCTCCCTGCACAGGTCGCGTGCCCACGCACAGGTAATGCCCCGCGCACCGCGGCTCACCAGGTACTTGCCGTCCGGGGAGAACCTGCAAAGCAGGCCCGAAAGCTTGAATGATTCCGAAAAGTTCATGGCCGCGGCCAGCCGGGGCCAGCAGCGCCCTAAGGTACTGCCCGCAACCGCCGCGGGCCGCGGCCGGAAGTACGGAGGCGGAAGCAAGCTGCAGCCAATGGGAGCCTCGAGCGGCCGCGCGGCATTGTGGGGCGGGGAGTCCGCTCTCGTGCCTTAAAGGCGCCTAGCGCCTTTGCGCCATAAAGGATCTATGTGCAAGCCGCGGAACTCGTGGCTGAATTTTGACTTCAGATAAGTCACAATATAAATATGTTCCCAGATGTTACATGAGACATACTTAGACTAAAAAACTCCCTTATCTAAAATTCAAGATTTAACTAGGCGTCCGTACTTGTAAATAAACATTTGTTTACATGTAAATACATATGTAAGTATGTAGTCGTATGCAGATAAACCTATTTTAGTATGTAACAAAGTTTCTGTTACAGGGTTTAGGGGCGCGGCTCAGATGGCAGAGTGCTTGCTTAGCATAAATGAAACTCTGGTTTCGGTGCCCAGCACCGCCTAATCCGGGCACGACCGTGCACACCTTTAATCCCACACCTGAAGGCAGAGGCGGCGGCAGTTCAAGGTCATCCTCCGTTAGAACGTCTTGGCCTACGTGAGATCCTTTCTCAAACAAAACAAAACAAAATATAGTATCTATTACAATTTATTTTCTATGTATTGTCTAAGTATAAATATAGGTTTGCTTTGAGGTTTTGTTGAGAGCGACCACGAGCAGCACGACCTCGTGACGCTCAGGTGCTTCGCAAGTCTAGGGCGAAACGAAATCGTAGGCACGTCGATCAGCTCACCTTCCTGGATGTTAAAGTGTGAACTTAGAGGCTCTTGATAGCAGCCCTGCTAGGCGGCTGTGGGACAGAGCGCCAACCGGGCTTCAAGCCCCGCTCGCTCCCCAAAGAGCCCTGCTCCTCCTGACTCACGCGGCGTCCGAAATCCTCGGTCTCACAGGGCTCCCCATTCCCGTCTCATTCTGGAAGCTGATTGCTCCTGTTTGCACCCAGAGCTTCTGAGGATCAATTTATCGCGCAGCCACTGCCATGGGTGCTGGGTCCCGAATTCTGAGAGCAAAGCAGACCTGGTATTGTTTGGTTAAGCTCCTAGCTACGAACCTCTTCCTCGCAGATACATCTAATTTCCGAGTAGGATTGAATGAGGGTACTTGTACCGTTAGGAGAGAACCTGGAGAGTGCCCGGAATGCTGGCCTTTTCTGTTCCCAACCAGTCCCAAACTTGCTTGTCCCCACCCTGTACCTAGCAATCGGCCTGGTTCATGGTCAGAGTGAGAGGGGGAAATCGGGTCTGCGCCCGACCTCTTCTCTTGCAAAGCCACTGGTGACACTAACGTAACTTCGAGGGCGCGTGGGAACGAACATCTTGGGCTAGGACCACCCTGCGGAGCCACTAAGGGGCCCCATAACCACGCAAGGCAGGGCACACCCGGTGGCCGAAACCGACTCCGAATTGAGATGAGGGACCGCTAGACCGCTCACTTGCCCCGCGGCGAGATCGCTGGTAGTGCAGTAGGCATCTCAAGCCAGAGATGAGTCTGTGCCTAACCACAAGCCGCTCTGTGTGAGCAATTTCTGGGCATCCGTTGAGCATCGCCTACCACACCAACACCCACGTGCACTTTAGAGCAAGAAACGACTGATACCCAGGGCTAGGAAACCCGGACGGATCCGGGAGGGAGCAGGGTGCCACCCGTGGCCCCAGGGTGTATGGGTTCAGGAAGCACGACCTCTGATTGAAGTTTGAAGAGTCGAACCCAGAGGGTCTGCACTGAATACTCTTTCCAGGCGGGCTGTGGTCTCCATCAGGCAAATCGAGAGGGGCTACGAACTGTTCTCAGAGGAGACCGGCTGGTGCTCGTCGGTCAACAGTTCTCCTCCAGGGCTTCCAGTCTTCAGTTTCGGTCCCTCCTCCAGGTTTACTTCGGCCAGGGCTCGCCCTGGAGAAGGCGCAGCTACCCGGCTGAGGGCACTCCTGACCCCCTGAGTTGCAGGCGCTTGGCAGTAGAAGCAGCGAGGGGTTCGGAGGAGATGGGCATCTGGGGAGAAGGCGGAGGAGAGAATGGGAGAGAGTCCAGGGCGTCGGGTGCCGAGTGTGCACCTGGGTCCAACCCCTCGGCGCCTGCGCACCCTTCCTGGCGCCCCGAGCACCGCCAAAGGTCGCGGTCCCCTACAGCTCCGCGAAGGGCTCCGGCTACTAGCGTGCAGTCCGGCACGGAGACCCCGCTGGGGTTCCTCTGGGCGACGCGCGCCAAGCGGTGGCGGGAAGGAGGCGGGAGGAGTGGGGCCCGGACCCCGACTCGGGCAGAGCCAGCTGGGGAGGCGGAGCGCGCGTGGGAGCCCTGGGCCGGGGTGGCCGGCCCTCCTCCCGCCACGGCTGAATGCCCGCGCTGCGTTCCCGCCGGTCCGCTGCAAAAGGCGCTAAGCCCGCGGCAGTCCCTTTGCCGCCGCCTCCCCGCCCGGCGCCCATATAACCCGCCGTCCCTGAAGCCCGCCCCGCAGCCCAGCGAGAAGGCAGCGGCTCAGCCCGGTTCTCTGCGACGCTGACGCCCCGGCCAGCAGCCAGGTAGGCAGCCCTGGGACCGGTGAGAGCCAGGGATCCCTCCCGCGGCTCTGAGGCTGGGATTAGGGTGAGCGGCAACCGGCAGCCGGGATGCTAGCCGTGGGAACCGCCCCAGGGACCTCGCGTCAGTGGCAGGAGGGGCCGGAGTGGGCTACCAGAAAATCCAGTTGGTGCCTCGGTAACCCTGGGGCCTGCCTCCTGCCCACCCTGTCCACCACAGGTAGCAGGTGATCCCTGGAGATGCTAGAGCTTAGGTCTCCAGCGAGTGGAAGTTGGGAGGTGCAAGGAATGCGAAACCCGAAGGCCTTTCCGTGCATGCCCTGTAAGCAGACTAAGAGAGTCCAAAGCCAGATAGAGCCACTCTACGCTGGCCCGCTGGTCCCAAGACGCGAGTTACCTGGAGGGTTGTTGCTTCACCTGCCTCCCTCCCTAGTCTTCTAGGAGAGAATCCAGGCTGCCCGCGCCGTCTCCTGTTTCAGATCAGGTCAGATCCTTCTGAACCGGGCAACGCGCTTAAGAGATGAGCACATGTGTAGGTGCCTGTCCGTACACACAGAGGTGGGGGGGACCCCCAAGACCCTTGGTTCCCTGTATGTGCTGTGATCTCTCTATTAATTAGGTGTGCACTTGGGACCTGGTTTGCAGCAATGTTTGAGGAAGGTTGCTGTTGTGTTTGTTTTTCTTCATTTAAAATTCAGTCCTGTGTGTTCCTGACCCGGTGCTCCGCATGGCATCGTCAGAGGATGACTTCTGAAGTCAATTCTTTTTCCATCTTACCGTCTTGGGGATTTAACTCTCAAGGCTAGGCAGCAAGCACCTGCTTGGTTTTTGTTTCTGTTGCTCTATGCTATCATTAACTTGGGAAGAAAATCAACGGAGACAAAATTCATCACAAATTCTCGGCGTGTTGCAAATGCCGATCCCCCCCCCCCCCACACACACACACCTTCATTCTTTGAATTATTCAGTAAAAAAAAATTTAAACATTACCTTGTGAACAAAAGGAAAATATTTGAAATTTTGCCATTCATGATTGTATAAATGTGTATGTAATCTTAAAAATAAGCGGCTTCAAAGAAGTTGCATTCCCACTAGTCTAGCGGGACTGAGCTACTGGTTGGCCTAAGTGGGAGGCTGCCTATCCAGCTCGGGTCCTTGTGGGTCCTTGCAGGATGCTGAGCACACCTGCTCATTCCAGGTGGTCACCCCATTCCGGTGGGCACCCTGTTTGCAAACAGTCTGGGACAAGTTACTTAACCCTTTGGAACCTCAGTTTATCCATCTGCAAAAACAATCATAACAGTGTCTTTCTCAAAAGGTTGGGAGAAAAGTAGCCAGGGCGCTATATCCAAAGTGGTTGGGAGAGTGCTGATATCCACCAAGTGGCCCCCAAATGTGCTGGCTTTTGGTCCTAGATTTTGACTGTACCCCAAGAAGAGGATCAGTCCCCAGGTTTTGGAGAGGTGGTGGCAGCAAGGCAGGAATCTGCCTCTGACCTGGGTGCAGGCTGGTGGCATCTATCAGGAGTAGGTCCTGTGGTAAAGATGCTTCTATTTCATGTTTATTTATAGAGCATGCCCAACCCAGGTTCTGGAATGGACTTCCAGTGGTGATGCATTCAAAGGAACACAGCTAAAGTAGGGATGAAGAGGGAGGGGAGACTGAGGGCTGAGGGAGGTTCACGGAGGCCGGGGTGTATCCAGGGATGTACTAGCCCTGAGACTCCTAGAACTCCAAAGCAAAGACGTTTTCGTCATTGCCTTTAATTACAGCTGCTTGTACACCTCAGTGGGAGACTGTTTCTGTCACCAAATTCAAGGGCAATTTACTGCCCAGAAGCAACACAAATGACTGTGTACATGGTGAATGGTGTTCATAAAAAAAAAAAAGAAGAAAAGAAAAGAAAAAGCGAATCAGAGAAATCCTCAAAACACTCTTGTTTGTTCCTTCTAACAAGCCAGATTTAGTTTCTGGTTCATCAAAGACTACGTTGAAATGTTATTGGTACCAAATTCTACTTCAACTTCAGAGAAGAAACTATGGAGTAATATTCTGTGACAGAGATTCCTTTAAAAACAAAAACAAACAAACAAACAAACAAAAAAACCCGGGTCACTCAACCTTGTTTCTGCCTAAATACGCAGCAAGGAGTTTAGCAGATACATTGTGTCATTTAGTCCAACTATAGACAGCTTAGACGAGGCAATGCCTCTTGCTGCCTCCTACCCTGCAGAGCAACCTTGAGGGCTTTTGCAGACACTTTCTCTTTAAGAGAGTTTGCTTTTCCTGGACTTGTTGCTCCACAGGGGAGGAGCAAAGAAGAAAGAATTGCTCAGCAAAACTACCGCTTATGAAGTAGCTGCAGGAATTAGTGCCTAGTGCCTGTTTGGGTTATGGCTGTGTTCTGGTATTAGGCTAAATAAGTTAGGATTTTGATTTGCCTGTAATTCTCCAACATTCCCTTAATGTAGTAGGTACTGCA